TTTTTTTTGCAAAAGGTAATGTTGCTACTCACCATTGTCCAAGCTCCTGCTGTACACCTGGAGCACATCCAGGAATCACTGACAGAATCTGACTTTACACCATAACAGCCTATGAAAGAGGAGAAAATGATTCCCATATCATTCCCAAACCATTTTGCATGTAATGTTTGCAAACCACCTAGAAGTGTATTACTGTTCAATAAGAACAGTCTCTGTGGTAACAATACCTCAGTATTTAGTTCTTATATTTATTAGATACTTCTCATTTTTATTCCTCTGTGCAGGCAAAAGCTGTGGCCAGAGTATTAGGTTTTTGGGTCGTCCGTCTGTCCCATTCTTGTGAACGTCATATCTCAGGAACGCCTTGTACAATTGTACGCACTTCATTGCAACACTTCTGCCTTCACATCTGTGCTTCTGAAGCTCAAAATGTTTCAGTGTTTGGATAAATTGTCATCAACGTATAAACTGAATTCTATTTTTACTATTGAGGTCGTAGTCTAAGGTGGTTTTGTACTGGACTACATTATATTATATTCCCACCTCATGTATGTAGGTGGGAAGGACAAAAATATAGAAGCACCTCTAAAGTGTACCTTATACAAGTCTGGACAGCCATGCACGTAGACTCCAACTCGACTGATTGGTGGAGGCACGCAACTGCAAAGCGGCATTCTAGTTATAACCACTTTGTTTTTGTCTTTTTTCACAAGGCACAATCAAACCTGCTTGTTAACCGGCTCATTCACACTTTATATTTCATTTGCCAAATCATTGTATCATCATCTCCAATGTGATCTTGTGAACAACAAGGCTTAAGTATTTATGTACCACCTAGAGTGGACAAATCTGAAAGACTTTTATGTGGATGTCCACTCCCAAACAATACACAGCAAAGGCATAGAGCACAAAGCTGGTGTTTTTGACAGGAGCTCTTTCTACTTCGTGTCCTCTTATCAGCAGCAGTGCTGCCTCCCTGGCTGAGCCCAGCTCATCCCCGGAAAACTAATGAACTGGCCTTTTTGAAGGTGTTCTCCAGCTTTAGGGATAATAAGAGCCCAGGAGGGTTGGTGTGTGTGTGTTACCAACTGTGGGTGCATAAACATGTCCATGCTGTAATTTATGTTGTTGTATGATGAGCCTCACACAAAACACGCACATACACAGACTTTTTTAGCATATTATGACTAAATGATTAGATATGCATATGAAACCAAACACACTTTATAACTGATGTAAATATATGGCAATTAGAAGCAGACCCAAATAGAGTGAGATCCTTGAACTAAATCACTCAAACACAATGTTAACAAGCTGCCTGTCCTTTCATGCTTTGCTTTGCTTTGCTTTGACGGAAGCCATATGATCTTAAAAGTCGACTTTCTTTCTGAAAAATGTAAGTATGGAAAGCAGGGTAAATAAAAGTGGGTGAAATTTGTGGTTCGCTGCCTGAGAGGCTTTTGTGTTGCTTGAGCATCCTCTTTGCTGGTTTAACCAGAGTCAAGTAGAGTTAAACTTGGAGCCTCACTCTAGGTAGCAATAAGGGATTTGAGCAGACAGTTTGTTGCACTGCTGCAGTAGAGTCTCATCTTCTGTGCTTCCAATTTTTCCAACACTGTTCTCAGGGGACCAGGGATTAAAAAAAAAAAAAGCTGTGAATAGAGAGCAGTGAAATGCCCAGTAGAGTCTGTCTGTGGAGTCTGACAGGCATGTATTGGCTGTATCGGGCCATAACACGTTACTTTAATAATATTACTTTCCCCCAGTAACGAGTAGTTTATAAGGTTACAAACAAAATTTCAGTAATAATATTACAGTTCCAAAAACAACACATTACAATGTTACTTTCATTGTCACCGTGGCAAAGACCGATTTGGCATCCAACATTTAAAATTTGTAGTCATCATTTAGCAACACCATAAGCAGTAAGCTGGCTCTGAAAATGGCATGTGCCTACGTTCTGTGGCTAGAAATACTTTGATTTTATCTGGATGAAAGTTGATAACATTTATGTAAAATGAACATTGTGTGCAAGTAGCAGTAAGATTCTTTCCACTGCTAAAAACAAACCTCAAACCTCTTGAAACACTTATTAAGAAAGCATAACAATGTGAAACTTGTGGAGATACACCCCAACAAAGATGCGCCCTCTGTGGCTGTGGCGGATGGCAGTAGCCCTTCAGAGGCTAAACAACCAAAACTGGCTGTCTTTCAGACAATTCCTTGGGATCATCCTTTAAAACCTAAGTTGCCTATAGCACCTTTTACACTGCCCGTTCGAGGCGGGATTATTGTGCCAATTTGCCACCACGCAGCTCTGTATAGAAGGTATCAACCTGGCATGAGGGGGTCAATGTTGAACCTCCTTTACTGTCCCACAAGAGGTAGTAAAATGGGCACAGCCAGTCTGCCTCAGCCTCTGCAAGGCAACTTTAGGTGTTCTCTGTGAAGTCTGGATGAACAGTTGTTTCTGCAACGTACTGCTGAGAGATTTAAATTTTAACGCTGATTGCAAGAAACATAACCCATGACCACCTACTACTGCTGATTTCAAAGCAAAAACATCACTGGCAGGCTTTGTATTTCTGACATGTGTTATATGCACAGTTATAAGTCACATTGTACATGATGTTATACATCACACCTCTAGTGCTGGGATGCCAGTGTCTGTGTAAAAAGAACACATTATGCCAATTTTTTTCTCAGTGTAAATAGACAGTCACAATAAAGTGTACTGAAGATTTCATACTCACTGGCATGAACCTGCATGTAGCAAGATGAACAGCGAATCAGAAGACTGGTTCCATCCTCTCCAATGTGGAAGTTGGTGGGTGGAGGCTCGGTATTTCCTGCCCCAACACTGAAGCACATCTCTGGGACCAGCGGACGAGTCAGACTGCCATGGCGTGGAGGAGAGGTGTGAGGGCTGTCCTTTGCAAAGGAGATGTCTTTTTGTGACTGGAAACACAAGACAAAACAGTTAG